TGTCCCGATCCTGGCGCCAACCCAGAGACATGTTCCAGCTCCAGATCTGGTTCCAGCGCCCGCGCTCCTGCACGCAGACGCCTTCCCAGGGGCGCCAGCTCCAGCCCCCGCGTCGTCGCCGTCGTCGTCGTCGCCGTCGGCGTCGTCGTCGTCGTCGTCGTCGTCGTCGTCGTCGGCGTCGGCGTCGGCGTCGGCGTCGGCGTCGGCGTCGGCGTCGCCGTCGCCGTCGTCGCCGTCGTCGCCGTCGTCGCCGTCGTCGTCGTCGTCGTCGTCGTCGTCGTCGTCGTCGTCGTCGTCGTCGTCGTCGTCGTCGTCGTCGTCTTCGTCGTCGTCGTCGTCGTCGTCGTCGTCCGCCGCCCCATGGGCGGCCGAGGTCGTCGCTCGTCGGCCGCAGTCGTCGGACGGCGTCGCCAGGGGCGCAGCTAACGGCTGCAATTATTGGCGTACATGGAACGACCAGGGACGCATCTAACGGCTGCAAGTACTGCTGCACCAGGGGGGGGTCCAAGGGCAGCTGCTGAAGCTGTAGCGCCAGGTGCGGGGGCTGTTGGCGCCGCTGCTGCGCCTGGCACGCACCTGGTGGCGCCCAGACCTCCCAGGGGCGCGGACAGGAGTGATGTGCAAGGGCGATTGTTGCTGCAGCCGTTGACACGCACCATCTGAATTCGCACCTGGCTGAACTCACACCCGACAAAACTCGCGCCAGCTGAAACACACCCTTGTCCCGAGCCGTCACTGACGCATGATACCTCATCACGTTGTCGTCGGCGTATACAGGGCGTATTACTAATGGCCACAAGCGCTGGGGTAAAATAGTCGCCGATGTCGAGTCAGGTCGTCTCGTCGACGTCGACGCCTCCAGGGGGGTGGCTAACGACTAAAAGCACTGGTGTAAAAAAATCGCCGATGCACTGCCCCGATTCCAGCGCCGACCCAAAGATATGTTCCAGCTCCAGATCTGGCCCAGGCGCCCGCGCCCCTGCACGCAGACGCCTTCCCAGGGGCGCCAGCTCCAGCTCCAGCTCCAGCCCCCGCGTCGTCGCCGTCGTCGTCGTCCGCTTTCCCATGGGCGGCCGAGGTCGTCGCTCGTCGGACGTAATCGTCGGACGACGTCGCCAGGGGCGCAACGAACGGCTGCGTGAACTGGTGCAAATGGAACGACTAGGGGCGCAGCTAACGGCTGCAAGTGTTGGTGTACATGGAACGACGGTCGGCGGTCGCAGTCGTCAGTCGGCGTCCCCAGGGGCGCAGTTAACGGCTCTGGTGGCCGCCGGCGCAGCGCCCGCCCCCCAGGCGGCTGCTGCAGCTGCAAAACCAAAGAAAATACTGAAATCGCACCCGGCTGAACTCGCACCCGAGCGGCCCAGACGGACTCGCACCTGCTGAACTCGCACACGGCTGAACTCGCACCCGACAGAACTCGCACCAGCTGAGTTCACACCTTTGTCCAAGGGGTGGCTTCTGCTGCACCAGGAGGGGGTCCAAGGGCAGCTGCTGAAGCCGTTGCGCCAGGTGCGGGGGCTGCTGCCGCTGCTGCTGCGCCTGGCATGCACCTGGTGGCGCCCAGACCTCCCAGGGGCGCGGCCAAAAGTGAGGAGCAGGGGCAATGGCTGCTGCGACCGCTGACTCGCACCAGCTGGACCTTCACCCGGCTGAACTCACACTATACAGAACTCGCACCAGCGGACCTCACAAACTTGCCCCAGTGGTGGCCTCTGCCGCACAACGAGGGGGTCCAGGGGCAGCTGCTGAAGCTGTTGCGCTAGGTGCGGGGGTTGCTGCCGCTGCTGCTGCCCCTGGCATGCACCTGGTGGCGCCCAGTGTTCCAAGGGGCGCGGACAGGAGTGATGAGCAGGGAGGATAGCTGCTGCTGCCGCTGATTCGCACCAGCTGAACTCGCACCTGGCTGAACTCACACCCGACAAAACTCGCACCAGGTGAACTCACACCCTTGCCCCAGGGCTGGCTTCTGCTGCACCAGGGGGCGTCCAAAGGCAGCTGCTGAAACTGTTGCGCCACTACGGGGGTTGTTGGCGCTGCTGCTGCGCCTGGCGTGCACCTGGTGGCGCCCTGACCTCCCAGGGGCGCGGGCAAGAGTGAGTGATGAGCAGGGGCGATAGCTGGTGCTGCCGCTGACTCGCACCAGCTGAAATCGCACCCGGCTGAACTCACACCCGACAGAACTCGCACCAGGTGAACTCACACCCTTGTCCCAGGGGCGGCTTCTGCTGCACCAGAGAGGGCCCGGGGGCAACTGTTGAAACTGTTTCGCCAGATGTTGCGCCTGGCATGCAACTTGTGGCGCCGTCCTCCCAGGGGCGCGGACAGGACTGAGGAGCAGGGGCGATTGCCGCTGCTGCCGCTGACTCGGACCAGCTGAACTCGCACCCGGCTGAACTTACACCCGACAGAACTCGCACCAGCGGAACTCACACCCTTGTCCCAGGAGGGGTTTCTGCTGGACCAGGGGGGGGTCCAGGGGCAGCTGCTGAAGCTGTTGCGCCAGGTGCGGGGGCTGCTGCCGCTGCTGCTGCGCCTGGCACGCGCCTGGCGGCGCCCAGTGTTCCCAGAGGCGCGGACAGGAGTGATGTGCAGGGGCGATTGCTGCTGCAGCCGTTGACTCGCACAAGCAGAACCCGCACCTGGCTGAACTCACACCCGACAGAACTTGCACCAGCTGAACTCACAACCTGGCCCCGAACCGTCACTGACGCAGGATACCTCAACATGTTGTCGTCGGCGTATCCAACGGCAACAAGCACTGGTGTAACATAGCCGCCGATGTCGAGACGTGTCGTCTCGTCGTCGTCGACGCCGCCCAGGGGGTGGCTAACGGCCACAAGCACGGGAATAAAATAATCGCCGGTGTCGAATCGTATCGTCTCGTCGTCGTCGACGTCTTCAGGGGCGTGGCTAACGGCCTCAAGTACTAATGTGACAGAGTCGTCGAGGTCGTTGTCGAAGTCGCGGTCGGAATCGCGATCTGATCAAGGATCAACACTTCCAGGGGCGTAGCTAACGGCTGCAAGAACTGGCGTGAAAGGATATGATCGGTCAGCCACGCGACGCGGGCCAGCGGCACCGAGAGGTGCAACAACGAGATTGAGGGGGTCGGAAGCCTGATCGCTGCTGATCGCGTCGCTGGCGCCGCGGCGCCAGCGGCGCCCGCGGCAGCCGCGGCGCCGGCGGCACCGGCGGCGCCAGGGCGCCAGCGGCGCCAGCGGCGCCAGCGGCGCCAGCGACGCGAGCCGCACAGGCGGCCGCCCGCAGCCGCCGGCGTCGCGCCGCAGCGGACACCATCGGCGCCAAGGGGCCCGCGCCTGGCCGGGGGCGTGCTCGAGCCCTGACCCAGGAGGGAAGGGGATTCGCGAAACGTCAAAAATTCTGATTGCGGTGGGGGCCCCTGATGGACGCACGGCGTCAGCACGCTTCTACGACAGCGCCCACCGGAACAATGACATCCAAGGCTCCCGAGGGGGCGGCGGTGCGGCGTAAACCAATGAACCGTAAGAAAAACATTATGCTACCGGAATTCCCCACATAAGGCTGAGGCGGGGCCTCCGCTGGACGGGTGGACGGGGCACGAAACCTAGGAGGCAGCACAGTATCTGAACACCCTCGCCGCTCAGGGGAGGCATCTTTGGAGACACGGGAGGGCACGAAACCTGTGAAATGCAAGGAAAACTGCGCTTGGCAGCGTGCTCTTCTGCAGCGCAGAGAAGCTTTTGGGGCGAACAAGAGCAGGAAAGCCGATACAATGGGACGGAAGGAGAAGAGGAAGGAGAAGAGGAAAGGCAGACAATAGCGAGGATGACGATGGTAATTGCGGGTGCGTGGGGTGACGTGGACGGCCTTCGGCGCTCCTCTTCCTCCTCCTCCTCCTCCTCCTCCTCCTTTTCCGTCCTCCTCCTCCTCCTCCTCCTCCTCCTGCATCTCCTCCTCCTCCTCCTCCTCTCATGGCCATCGCACGAAACCTGATAAATCACATGGTGTTCGAATACTGTCCTCGCTCAGGCAGGGCCTCTCTGGAGGGGCGGGAGGGGCGGTGGGAGGAGCACGGATAAATCATATGGTATGCGGATGCTGTCCTCGCTCAGGCGGGGCCTCCCTGGACAGGTGGGACGTAACCGGATCAATCACATGGTATCCGAATACTGTCCTCGCTCAGGCGGGGCCTCCCTGGAGGGGTGGGAAGGGCTGTGGGAGAGGCACGAAACCTGATAAATAACATGGTATGCGAATGCCCTCCTCGCTCAGGCGGGGCTTTCGTGGTGAGGTGGGAGGGGCACGTTTCCTGATAAATCACATGGTATCCGAATACTGTCCTCGCTCAGGCGGGGCCTCCCTGGACGGGTGGGAGGGGCACGTAACCTAAGAATTCGCATGGTATCCGAATACTGTCCTCGCTCAGGCGGGGCCTCCCTGGACGGTTGGGAGGGGCCCGTAACCTGATCAATCATATGGTATCCGAATGCTGTCCTCGCTCAGGCGGGGCCTCCCTGGACGGTTGGGAGGGGCACGTAACCTGATCAATCACATGGTATCCGAATACTGTCCTCGCTCAGGCGGGGCCTCCCTGGGCGGGTGGGAGGGGCACGTATCCTGATCAATCACATGGTATCCGAATACTGTCCTCGCTCAGGCGGGGCCTCCCTGGACGGGTGGGAGGGGCACGTAACCTGATCAATCACATGGTATCCGAATGTTGTCCTCGCTCAGGCGGGGGCTCCCTGGAGGGGTGGGAAGGGCGGTGGGAGGGGCACGAAACTTGAAAAATCATGCGGTATTCGAATACACTCCTCGCTCAGGCGGGGTCTACCTGGAGGGTGGGAGGGGTACAACATCATACGAAATCAGATGATATGGTTTTGCATGATATCTTATGGTATCGTGTGGCATAGTATGGTATCGTTTTGCGATGGCATGTGGAACAGGAAGCGGGAGAAGGAGAAGTAGAAGGAGAAGGTGTTCTTGGAAAACAAGAACCACACTCAGGATGTGGGGAAGTAGTGTTTGCCAGTCTGTCAAAGGAGACCATGCTGATCACACTTGGGCGCATGTCGAAAGCACACAACTTGCACTTCAAGGCTTGCACCATATAGCGTGCACACTCAAAGGCAGGATATCACAGTTTGGGGTCCATGCTGGCGAACATGATTTTCTCGACCGCGAAGATATTCTGGCATACTCGTTCCCAGCCAGCTCGTATACCGACTAAGGCAACCTCCACCCCGCGCAAAGCGCACGTCCCCCGTCTCGGAGGTCGCCGCGCGGGGGCTCTGCGCAACAGGGCTGTACGAGCTCGCAGGGCTGTACGAGGCGCCAGTCCAGCACACACCAACAACTCAACTGTAAAGGATGGTGCTCATCAGCATCTGGCAAAGGCAGATGGGCTGCCCTCTGTGGGCTTCGCCGCAGCTAGCCCGCCTTCGCGGCGCGGCCGCGCAGCCCGTGCAGCGCGCCATGGGGCCCTGCCGCGCATGTGGCGGCGGGGCGGGCCCTGCAGAGCCACGCGCGGATCTGTGCGGCGCACCCCCTTGACGTGATATATAGCGGGGGCGCGCGCACCGCGGTGGCTCCCGCGCCAGGGCCCCACCTGCCCACCGGCCTGCGCCGCACCCGACCTGCCGTCGGCCTGCCCCGCTCGGCCTACCCCGCCTGTGCCTGGCCAGCGCTACCGCGGAGGCGCGCACGCACACTGGCCGGCGCAGGCCTCGTTGACGATCTCGTACGACAGCTGCACCGGCTGCCCGTTGCTCAGGATCCAGTCGACACGGTTCCGGCACGAGTCGGAACCACCGTACATCATGTTCCCGCTGTACTCGCACTGCGCGTCGCACTCGCCTGTGGGGCTCGGCGACGGCGCCTGGCATGAGCACTGCCCGGTGCACTCCTCGTTGACCTGGCTCGTGGCCGCCGCCGCACTCTTGCCGCCGTGCTCGACCAGCCAGCTGATGCGACCGCGGCACGAATGCGAGCCACCATTGTAGTTGCAAGGCGCGTCGCAGCCTCCACCCGACGTAGGTGGCACCATGGGCACCAGCGTAGTGCCCGAAGTCGGTGCTGGCGTAGATGCGGCCGGAAGTGCGCACGCACACTGGCCGGCGCAAGCCTCGTTGACGATCTCGTACGACAGCTGCACCGGCTGCCCGTTGCTCAGGATCCAGTCGACACGGTTCCGGCACGAGTCGGAACCACCGTACATCATGTTACCGCTGTACTCGCACTGCGCGTCGCACTCGCCTGTGGGGCTCGGCGAAGTCGGAGCTGGCGTAGATGTCGCGGAAGGTGCTGCTGTGGGCGCTGGCGTGATGCCCGAAGTCGGTGCTGGCGTAGATGCGGCGGAGGGCTCTGGCGCCTGGCAAGAGCACTGCCCGCTGCACTCCTCGTTGACCTGGCTCGTGGCCGCCGCCGCACTCTTGCCACCGTGCTCGACCAGCCAGCTGATGCGACCGCGGCACGAATGCGAGCCACCATTGTAGTTGCAAGGCGCGTCGCACCCCCCTTCTGGCAATGTGGGCTCCACAGCGCCGTGCTGCACCGGAACGTACTGGCGCCGGCGTCGTCGGTGGGCCCGCTCCAGAGTGGTAGCCTCAGCCTGCCCAGCCAACCAACGGAATTTCTGCCCGCAGTCTCCCAAGGCTGCCCCCGTCTCGGGCCCTGTCTGGCCGCTGGCAAAGAAGCGCCGGTCTGAGTCCGCGGCGGCTATGCAGGAGACTTGGCCGCGGTCGGTGACCAGGGTGAGGGTCACGGCCTCGGCGGCGTTGCCCAAGCTCTGCGACGCATGGGGGTCTGAGAACTCGACGATGATGTCGCCAGGCTGGCCAGCGTCTGGCAGCCACCTAAGACCTTCCACAGTGTAGCTGGCCCCAGCAACCACAGGGGCCGCATAGCTGCCCTGATTGTTCCACGTGCGGCTGGGGTCGTGGAAGGGGGGGTTCCACCAGAGGCTGCCAACGTTCATGCCGAATGTAGGCTCAGAGTCGTCACGACTGACACCTTCATAGCCAGGACCGCGAATGGTGATGCGCCCGAAATTGGGACCGAATATGTTCAAGCGGCGAACCGGAGTGGTCTTCGCGCAGCCAAAACCTCCACCCCACTTGCCGAGGGGGCCCTGGCATCCAGGCACGAGCGCGAAGCCGTTCAGGTGCGGGCTGACAATCGCTCCGTAGCCATCCAAAGACTCGTCGGCCGCCACCCACAGGATCCGGACCGGATCGCCGCCGCTGCTGCCGAAGTTGATCACCTGCGCGCCACTGTCCCTGACCCAGCCGTACATGTGCGTCGTGGAGTCCAGGCCCACCAGGTGGTTCTGCACGTTGCAGGTCATGCCCTGGAGGGGGCCGCCCAGGTCGGGGCTGCCGAAGCAGTGCTGGGGGGAGTGGAGCTGCGCCCGTCCAGCCAGGGTCACGCCCTCCATGGTGAAGGTGAACGCCCCCCCGGGAAGCCGAGCGGTGGTGTCCGCGAAGACGGAGTCGCGGATGTGAACGGCGTTCGGGTCGGCGAAGTTCTTCGACCGCTTCCAGTACATGCCCGTGTTGCAATCGACCGCTCTGAAGCGCAGGTACATGATGTCGCCGGCCGTGTACTGGCCAACGAAATCGTTGTGGTAGTCCAGGCAGTCCTCCACCACGGACGCTGGGACCACCCCGTTGTCCCTGCCATCGGGCGTGAGTTCCTGCCAGCACCTCTGCATGTCGATGACGTAGCCGTTCTCGTCACGGGGGCCCACGTTCCGCGGGAACTGGTTGTCTGGGTAGATGCCGAAGTAGGAGTTGTCGTGATTGACGTTCCCGCGCATGATCCCGTATGGAAGGTGCCTCGGGCAGACCTTCCCATGTGCTTCCCCCTCGCCAAGGTGGTGGAGGCCGCCCGGTGTGAAGAGACCGTGCTGATGACCGACAATGTGGTTGCCGATAACGTCGTTAGTCACACCAACCATGTAGATGCCCACGCCCTCACCTGCGTTCGCGCCCTTTACGATGCAGTAAGGACCGCTGGGGCCCCCGCTGCGCTTTGAATCGTCCCAGTAAGGGCATATGATTGTGTTGTGGCTGATCGTGTTGTTCATCTCGTTCCCGTCCTCCGTGTAGATCCCGACCCCTCTGTTCATCCAGAGGACGTTGGAGTCGACAGTGGTCCGGTGGGTCCCATGAATGGTGATGCCCGACTGGAAGGACTCGACAATGGCGTTGCCCTGGAAGATGCACTCTGGGCACTGCCCCAGCAAGTGGAAGTGCAGACAGTAGCGGCCCTTGATGCCGTTCTGGCCGCAGTACTCCACCCTCGCGTGACGCACCACGCCCACACTGCCTGGCCCCATCATCACGTGCAGTCCTTGGCGCGTGGCGAGGAAGTCCTGGTGGTCCCCGGTGATGAGCACGGAGCGCTCCATGTTCACCACCTCGGCGGCGAGCTCGAACTGCTGCCCCTCGACGTCCTTCATGCCGCCCATCCGCGCGGCCTGGAGCGGTGGCGACACGCGGAGCCCAGAGGGCAGCAGCTCCACGATGGTGTGCTCGCTGGAGTCGCTCTGGCGGGCCCGCGTGGTGGCCACGCCGACGCGGTCCCCGACGCGCCAGCCCATGTCTCCCGGGTCGTGCTTCAGGGCCAGCTGCGAGGAGCCCTGGGCGGCACCGCTGGAGAGCAGGGACATCGTGCGCGCCAGGGGGCGGCCGTGTATCTCGATGCGGGAGCTGCCCCTGCTGCCGACGAAGCGGCTGCCCATGGGTCCGGAGAGCGACCCGCACTGCTTGATGTAGATGGTGGCCCTCAGCTCCATCGGCGCGTCCGCGGTGCCTATCTCGAGCAGGCCTCCGTCCTCCACCATGACGTGGCAGGCGCGCAGTTCCAGCCCGTCCTTCGCCGTATCCCACCTCAGCTCCCCTCGAATGGTGAGCGACTCGACGTCGATGCTGGCGTCCAGCACCCACGCGGCGCCGGCGGGCACCTCGCACCGCGACCCGGAGGCGCACGCCGCCGATGCCCGGAGGCTGCGATGCGCGAGCTGCGCCCCGAGCTGGACCAGCTGCACGCCGGGCGGGCTGCCAGGCACGCGGTTGGCCCACGTCCGCCCCGCGCCGGCGCTGTGGTTCGCCAGCCTGGCTCCGAGGCTGCACAGGCGGTCGGCGCCTGGGCCCCCGGCGTGGGGGCCTGCGGCGCCGAGGGCTCCCACGGCGGAGGCGGCGGCAGCGAGGGCCGCCGCGAGGGCAAGCATGGGCCCTCGCTGGGGTTGGGGTCGGACCGCGCGCTCTTGGCACGGGGCGGGCGCGGCGCCCCTGGGGCAGATCCCGGCTCTCTGGACCAGACACGGCTTGAGCCAAAGGCTACGGAGGCTGGTGGGGATACGCGAAGCGTCAAGAATTCACGTACAAGACGAAGCCAGGGCGAGGATAAAACGGGGTGAGAACAGATCGAGGATCTCTGAGATCCGGCGGATCTGGAGGATGTCTCGGGCGCAGCGGTCTCTTCAGAGCGTTCTGGAACGTTCCGAGAGTTTTCTGGAACGGTCTTGCACGGATTATCCACCCCCTAGCACCGTCCGAGCGTACCCTGGCCCCGCCCTAGCCCCGTCCTAGCGTAAGCGGATGCTCATGGGGAGCGTGGTTCCCAGACACCCGACGTCATGGTTTTCTCATGACGTCGACCCCCAGAGGACTCGACTCATTTCCCCGGAACCAATTTTTCATCCTGAGTCGTTGTTTGACAGTTCCGAGGCCCAGTAGGGGCCCCCGGAGGACGAAATTATCCCAGAGCGACCCTACCTAGGAGTTGGAGCCCCGAAGAAAGCAAGATTAGTAGTAACGGTAAACGCCGACCTCCTCCTTCTCCTCATCGTCGCAATGTAGCAGAAGCGGTAGTAGCAGAAGTAATAGGAGTAGAAGTAGTAGTAGTAGTAGTAGTAGTAGTAGTAGTAGTAGTAGTAGTAGTAGTAGTAGTAGTAGTAGTAGTAGTAGTAGTAGTAGTAGTAGTAGTAGTAGTAGTAGTCGTAGTCGTAGTAGTAGTAGTAGTAGTAGTAGTAGTAGTAGTAGTAGTAGTAGTAGTAGTAGTAGTAGTAGTAGTAGTAGTAGTAGTAGTAGTAGTAGTAGTAGTCGTAGTAGTAGTAGTAGTAGTAGTAGTAGTAGTAGTAGTAGTAGTAGTAGTAGTAGTAGTAGTAGTAGTAGTAGTAGTCGTAGTAGTAGTAGTAGTAGTAGTAGTAGTAGTAGTAGTAGTAGTAGTAGTAGTAGTAGTAGTAGTAGTAGTAGTAGTAGTAGTAGTAGTAGTAGTAGTAGTAGTAGTAGTAGTAGTAGTAGTAGTAGTAGTAGTAGTAGTAGTAGTAGTAGTAGTAGTAGTAGTAGTAGTAGTAGTAGTAGTAGTAGTAGTAGTAATAGTACTGCTACTACTACTAGGACTAGTACAGGTTCGTACCTACATATACATATAGACCGACATCCACATCTACACCTACAGCTACATCTACATGTACACATGCATCGGCATATACATCTACTTTTACAACTACACTCACATCTACATCTACATCTACACATACATCTAGACCTACATGTACATCTACATATACATCTACACCTGCATCTAAATCTACATCTACACCTACATCTAAATATACATATACACTTTCGCATTGGTGTTGCTGTTGCTTTGCGTTGCCTTTGCTATTGCTTTTGCCTTCGTGTTTGCCTTTGCCTTTGCTTTTGCTGTTGCTGTTGCTGTTGTTTTTGCTTCGTTGATGTTTTTTCTGTTGCTTGGTGTTGCTGTTGTTTTGCCTTCGCACACACACACAGACACACGCATGATTTTGCATTCGCTTACCGGGTGTGCTTGAGAATGCTCCAGATCCGGCCTACACTTCACGACTTGGCATTGAGCAAGGTTGTGCAACACTTGCTACAACGAACGTTCCTACGAAACTGGACAGCAGCAGCAACTCCAAGATCGGTGCAACAAGCTGTGCTATGATATGCTATGCTATGCTATGATATGCTGTGCTATGCTATGCAGAGCTATGCTAGGCTATGCTATGCTTGGTTATGCTATGATATGCTATGCGATGCTATGCTGTACTAATGCTGCGCTGCGCCACGCTGCGCTGCGCTAAGCTAAGCTACGGTAAGCTAAGCTATGCTAAGCTAAGCTAAGCTAAGCTAGGCTAGGCTAAGCGAAGCTAAGCTAAGCTAAGCTAAGCTAAGCTAAGCTAAGGAAAGCTATGCTAAGGCTAGGCTAAGCTAAGCTTAGGCTAGGCTAATCTAAGCTAAGCTAAGCTAGGTTAGGCAAAGCTAAGCTAAGCTAAGCTAAGCTAAGATGAGATAAGCTAAGCTAAGCTAAGCTAAGCTAAGCTAAGCTGGGTGAACCCAGGGGGCGCAACTGGGGGAACCGCGGGGCGGGGACTGGGGGAACAGCCCGGGGCGAGTTCCACTGCCCGGCCCCTTTAAGAAAGAGAGCAAGAACCCTCTAGGCAGAGCCTAGGTAGGGAAATAATGAAAAGCCTCCCGTCGTGATTTCTTCACGACGCGAGGGGGTCTGCTGCGTTTTCGAAGCGTCAAGAACTCACGTACCCTATTCTCTTGGCGCCTCCCGGCGCCAGAGGCGCCAGGCGCCTGAGGCGACCGTGCTGTGTGTCCGGCTGTGGGCCCCCTGTGGCCTGTCGGCCTGGGGCGGCCTTGGGCGGCCTCGGGCGGTCTTGAGCGGTCTCTGGGAGTTTTCGGTGGCCTCAGGCGAGGAGGCTGGATGGCTGCGACCGACCAGGGGCCCAGGATCCAGCACGCAACCGTCGGGGATCGTCCAACGACGTCTGGGGGGAAGACCCAGTCATCCAGCGGTTCGTGCCAGAAACGGCACGACAGATCTTGTCGCCATGTTGAGCCAAGTCTCGACCCTTTCCTCCCCCGGGCCCGTTCTTCATATGCCGGCGAGTTTCTGACCCGGGTCAATCCAGACCCGGGTCAGTAAGGCCTTGCAGGATCCTGCAAGATCCTGCAGGACCCTGCAGGATCCTGCACCCAAGCCCGGGTCAACGCAACCCTGGCTCTGCAGGACCCTGCAAAATCCTGCAAGATGCGGCGCTCTGACTGACCCCCGCTTGCATTAGGTCCCGAACGCAGCGTATCGACGAGGGCGCCCGGCGGCGGGGCCGAAACCGGCTGCACGCAGCAGATCTCGTACCCCCCCCCCCTCTTCCACCGAACCCAGAAGCTCGAGCCTCGATCCTCGAAGCCCGAAGCTCGATCCTCACCTCCTCGGACTTCCACGCTCGATCTGCGCTCCCTCGAGCCGCATCCCCGAAGCTCGAAGCTCCACCCGAACCCGAACAGAACAGAACCCGAGCCGCATCCTCTGGCAGCCCCTGGCGACCCGTCTTCCTGCAGCAGGCCCGCGGCGGCAACGCCCAGAGAGACCACGCCACGTCACCAGCGCTGCCCCGGAAGCGGCCAGCGCCGCCAGCGCAGCGCCCCCGCCGAGTCGCGCGCGCCAGGTTACGCCGCCGGCACCCAGGCGAACACGCGCGCTGGCGCCTCACCCGGTGGTTCAGAGATGGGGTCCTGAACAGGGCTCGAGCCTCGAGCTAAACAATTTGTTCGAATTCTATTTGTTGCCGTTTCCTTCGGTATGTCTTCGTTCTGCCTTGGCTGCGAATCAAAATGAAAACGACACGGACCACGACACCGCTCAAACACCGTTTAGCTCGAGGTCGAGCCCTGTCCTGAGGGCTGGTCCTAAGGACGAAGTGCCGAAAACACCCAAACCATGGAAATCTGCCTTTGGACCCCTTCCTATCCTCAGTACCCCACCCTCAGAGCCCCATCTTCGAGCCACCGACTCACTTCGGGGGGCCAAGCGCGTCATCAGTCATCGCCGCCGCCGCCGCCGTCCGCCCCCACCGTCCGTCGCCCGCCTTCGTGCGTCGCCCGTCGTCGTCCGTCGCTCGTCGACGCCCGTCGCCCGTCGACGCCGTTGTCCGAGGTCGTCCGTCGTCCGTCGACCTTCGTCGTCGGTCGTCGGTCGTCGGCATCCGCTGTCGCCGCCGCCGTCGCCAGTGGCGACGACGACGACGGCGACGATGAGGCGTCGTCGTCCTCCTCGTCCTCGCGGAGGACACAAAGGACGACGAGGAGAACGAGGAGCACGACAAGCAGGGTCGTCGTCCGTCGTCGTCGTCGCCGTTCGACAACCACCTCCCAAACATCCTTATCGACGACATGGAACAAGTCACCGGCGACAATTAATCATTTGACCTGTCGATTGGGATCGCAAGTCAGGCATTGGGGTGGCATCCCCGCCAAACACGGATTGCAAACCCAAAGTGCACTCTGTAGTGTAACTTGTTTCAACGGTGGGCCATGAGTGAAACCAGCGGCGCAAGAGTGTCCCATCCCAAAGACGTCTGCAGGCGACCGTGGGGCCAAGAGGAGGAGGACGAGAAGGAGGAGGAGGTTACTGCCAAAGCTGCGAGGCGCATGCACGGCAACGACGTATGCGGCTGCGGCAACACGGCTCCACTCCACTCTGTGCGCCTGCGCGGTTACTTCACAAAGCACTTCAGCTAAGGGTACGGAGGCTGCTCGCCTCAACGCAGTCAAAGTCCCCGTGCTGCTGCTTATCCTCATGTGCCATCCCTGTTCGTTTCTCCCTGCCCCATTCTTCGACCCCCGTGGTCACTCGCGCTGCTCTCGTGGCTTGTTGCTCGCACATCACTCGTCGCGCGTCCAGCTGTGCCCAGTCTCCCTGCGTTCCGGCACTCGTAGAAGTGTACGCCTGGGGCCTTCCCCTGGCTAGAACCATCGCGCGGGCTTACGAATCTCGGGCGCTCAAGTTCTAGGTAACCGAAGCGCTCTACAGCGCAGAAGAGGCGGTGGCGGTAGCGTCACATAAAGGGAGAGCCGCGCGACACCCTATGAACCATTGCTTGGCTGTGCAGTTCGACTGCCCTGGCACGCCTGACATAAAAGCTGCATACTGCAACAACAACATAGAAACAATACATCCACATCTACGATATATCAACTGTAGTGCCTGCTCCTCGAACAATGTTTGCACACAATGGGGTTCTTAATTCGTCTCGTTCAATAACTGGTTGGGTAGTTTCTGGATATTCGCCACGTTGCGGGCCCGGGCCGTCTCGTGGGCGCCTCGTGGGCGCCCTGCGCGTGGAGGGCATGATGAGGTTGCGCTGCGTTGTCGCCCGTGTCGCCTCGTGGGCGCCCCGCGCTTGAGGGGTATGCCGCGGTTGCGCCGCATTGCCGCCCGTGCCGCTTCGTGGGCGCCCTGCGCTTTTGGGGCATGCCGCGGTTGCGCCGCGCTGCCGCCCGAGCCGCCTCGTAGCTTACTCCGCTTGGCTTACACAGCATAGCTCACATCACATAGCTTACGCCCTATTGCTTCACCTACAATTCACACCGCATAGCTTACGCGACGCAGCTCACACCACACAGTTTACTCCGTCTTGCTTTCACCTCCTCAACTCACACCGCCTAGCATATGCGACATCTAGCTTGCACCACATAGCTTACACTGCATAGCAGCCACCCCCGCATTGCAATAACACACTGTTTCTGCTCCACGCTAGCTAACAGATGTACGATCATCGTTTGTTTGAATTGGATCGGATCTTATCGGCCGCGCCGAGGTGAAAAGGAAGGGCCCTGCACCGTTCGGGATGTCGAAAATGTATGCTTATGCAGATTTTGTTTTCTTCTGAGCCTCCAGGACAGTCTGACGATCCTGGCGAATCACGCGGCAAGTGCGGCACGCGGCGGCGGCGACGGCGACGCTGCCGGGGAGCGGCAGCCTGGCATGGTGGAGTTGCCAGAAGTGCGGCCCGCCCCGCGGAGGCATCCCCTGGCCTCTCGGCCTGCGCACGCTCTGGCAATCTGCTGCCCCCCTCGAGTTCTCCTACAATTCATTACTCGTCGTGCTGCCACACGGGGCGCTGCACAGGGGAGGGGCTTTTGTGGACCCGGCGAGCCCTAGCCACGGAGAGGCTCCAGAGGCCTCCTTGATCGGGGCGGCTCTAGAGGCCTCCTTGATGGGGGCGGAGTAGATGGGGTCGGAGGATCGCGCCGCATCGCCGATGCATGGGCGATGCGGCTCGATATGTGTTGTCCGATGTGCTTCACGTCGACGTCGGAGCAGGAGGGTGGGGGGGGGGGATCCGCCGGCTTCTGCCCCAGATCACCGACGATCTGCCCTTATTTCTGCCCTGAGCTCTGTCCTCGACTTCGGCCTCTGGGGCCCGCCGTCGGGCCCCCGGGCCATCAGACATGGATCCGCACGCTTGTTGGCGGCACCCCTCCCTGTCTTGGGGGGGGCAAAGAGCTGGGCCAGTGGCAGCAGTGGGGCCAGAGAAAGCCTGCCCCGAACGGCCTCTGGAAGAACAAAGACATCCAGCTGGGTTCGTGCTCCCTAACTCGCAAGGGAAGAGGAACTATAGAGTACCAGTGACCCGCCGCCGTTGGGAGGCCGTCAGCCTGTGGGAGCCCGTCAGCGTGTTACTAATTCGTCTTAGTCCAGAGACTTGGACGATAACAGGCTGATGGGTTCCCCAAGGCGGCTAATGTATGCTTGCCCCACCATGGTTCAGAAGGCTACTCAGAGCCTCAGAAGGCCAGAAGCCTCCTAAGCCTTCTGAGAAGGCCCGCCCCCGCTTCCCCCCTTCAGGACCAGCGGCGCCTTAATTTTGTCAATACAGAGTCCCCAAGAGTCCCGACCCTTCCCGACCCTTCCGAAGGGCCAGCTTCTATCGCGAGTCGTTTTTGGACCGTCCCAGAGCCCCGGCGAGGGCCCCTGGAATCCGAAAATGGCACAAAAAAAACTCCTGTCCTATAGTTTTGTCCGGCCATCCTGTGGTGTTGGGTCCTCGTTTTGAAGAGACAACGCCCCGCGTTACTTCCTTCCTCCTCATCCTCCCCCTACTCCCTCCTCCCATCCCTGCACCGTCTCTGCTTCGGCACACCCCTCACACGTTCCGTGGCCCCGCAAGGAGCTTCACCGGAGGTCACAGTGGTGCAGTTCGCATTTGAGCGTCGCGCCCGATTCGGCACACCCCTCACACGTTTCGTGGCCCCGTAGGGAGCTGCACCGAAGGTCCCAGTGGTGCAGCTCGCATGTGGGCGTCGCGCCCGGTTCGGTACACCCCTAACACGTTTCTCGGCCCCATAGGGAGCTCCACCGAAGCTTTCCGCGGTGCAGTTCGCATGTGGGTGTCACGCCCGTTCGGCACACCCCTCACGCGTTTCGTGGCCCCATAGGCCATAAGGAGCTCCACCGAAGGTCTCCGCGGTGCAGTTCGCGTGTGGGCGTCACGCCAATTTCGGCACACCCCTCACACGTTTCGTGGCCCCGTACGGAACTCCACCAAAGGTCCCAGTGGTACAATTCGCATGTGGGCGCCACGACCGTTTCGGCACACCCCTCATACGTTTCGTGGCCCCCATAGGGAGCTCCACCGAAGGTCTCAGTGGTGCAGTTCGCATGTGGGCGTCACGCCCTTTCGGCACACCCCTCACACGTTTCGTGGCCCCATAGGACATAGGGAGCTCCGCCGAAGGTCCCAGTGGCGCAAATCGCATGTGGGCGTCATGCCCGTTTCGGCGCACCCCTCACACGTTCCGTGGCCTGGGTAGCTCGACCGAAGGTCCCATTGGTGCAGTTCGCGTGTGGGCGTCGCGCCCGGTTCGGCACACCCCTCACAAGTTTGGCGGCCCCATAGGTAGCTCCACCGAAGGTCCCAGTGGCGCAGTTCGCATGTGGGCGTCGCGCCCGTTTCAGCTCACCCCTCATACGTTTCGCGGCAAGGTCCCAGTGGGAGGGTTCACATGCACCTGCCCACCTCCCCAAATCGGCATGCCCCTCACACGTGTTGTGGCGTCATAGGGAGTTCCGCCGACGACGATCCTCACAACTGCGGCACTCACAACTGCATCTGGTTGGGTCCTTCGCCAGGCTAATTTGTTTTCCAGCCATCCTGTGGTGTTGGGTCCTCGTTTTGATGAGCCTGTGCTCGCGACTCCCTCACTCAATCACTCCGCATCCTCCCCCCTCCTCCCATCCCTGCCTCTGCCCTCCGCACCAGTCAGCCATTGCGGAACACCCGATCACACGCTTCGCGGCCCCATACGGAGCTCCGCCGAAGGCCCCAGTGGCAGGGTTGATATGCGTCCGCGAGACCCATGTCGGCACACCCCTCACAAGTTTCGTGGCCCCATAGGGAGCGCCGCAGAAGGCCCAAGTTGCAGGGTTTACACGGCCCCGCGCGATTCAGATCGGCACACCTCGCGCACGTTTCGTGGCCCCATAGGCCATAGGGAGCTCCGCCGAAGGTCCCAGTGGCGCAATTCGCATGTGGGCGCCATGCCCGTTTCGGCGCACCCCTCACACGTTCCGCGGCCTGGGTAGCTCGACCGAAGGTCCCAGTGGTGCAGTTCGCATGTGGGCGTCGCGCCCGGTTCGGTACACCCCTAACACGTTTCTCGGCCCCATAGGGAGCTCCACCGAAGCTTTCCGCGGTGCAGTTCGCATGTGGGTGTCACGCCCGTTCGGCACACCCCTCACGCGTTTCGTGGCCCCATAGGCCATAAGGAGCTCCACCGAAGGTCTCCGCGGTGCAGTTCGCGTGTGGGCGTCACGCCAATTTCGGCACACCCCTCACACGTTTCGTGGCCCCGTACGGAACTCCACCAAAGGTCCCAGTGGTACAATTCGCATGTGGGCGCCACGACCGTTTCGGCACACCCCTCATACGTTTCGTGGCCCCCATAGGGAGCTCCACCGAAGGTCTCAGTGGTGCAATTCGCATGTGGGCGTCACGCCCTTTCGGCACACCCCTCACAAGTTTCGTGGCCCCATAGGGAGCGCCGCAGAAGGCCCAAGTTGCAGGGTTTACACGGCCCCGCGCGATTCAGATCGGCACACCTCGCGCACGTTTCGTGGCCCCAGAGGCCATAGGGAGCTCCGCCGAAGGTCCCAGTGGCGCAATTCGCATGTGGGCGTCATGCCCGTTTCGGCGCACCCCTCACACGTTCCGTGGCCTGGGTAGCTCGACCGAAGGTCCCATTGGTGCAGTTCGCATGTGGGCGTCGCGCCCGGTTCGGCACACCCCTCACAAGTTTGGTGGCCCCATAGGTAGCTCCACCGAAGGTCCCAGTGGCGCAGTTCGCATGTGGGCGTCGCGCCCGTTTCAGCTCACCCCTCATACGTTTCGCGGCAAGGTCCCAGTGGGAGGGTTCACATGCACCTGCCCACCTCCCCAAATCGGCATGCCCCTCACACGTGTTGTGGCGTCATAGGGAGTTCCGCCGACGACGATCCTCACAACTGCGGCACTCACAACTGCATCTGGTTGGGTCCTTCGCCAGGCTAATTTGTTTGCCAGCCATCCTGTGGTGTTGGGTCCTCGTTTTGATGAGCCTGTGCTCGCGACTCCCTCACTCAATCACTCCGCATGCTCCCCCTCCTCCCATCCCTGCCTCTGCCCTCCGCACCAGTCAGCCATTGCGGAACACCCGATCACACGCTTCGCGGCCCCATAAGGAGCTCCGCCGAAGGCCCCAGTGACAGGGTTGATATGCGTCCGCGAGACCCATGTCGGCACACTCCTCACAAGTTTCGTGGCCCCATAGGGAGCGCCGCAGAAGGCCCAAGTTGCAGGGTTTACACGGCCCCGCGCGATTCAGATCGGCACACCTCGCGCACGTTTCGCGGCCCCATAGGGAGTTCCACCGAAGGCCCCAGAGGCGGCGTTCGCGTGCGTTCGTGGCCCCACAGGGAACCCCACCGAAGGCCCCAATCGCTGCATTAGCATGCGCTCACTGCGCGTATTCCAGTACATTCCTGACACGTTTCGTGGCCCTATATGAACCTCATCCGAAGACGATACTCGAAACTGCATTACTCACAATCCATGTGGCTGGGTCCTTCGCCAAGCTAATTTTTACGACGCGAGCACCCCCCTCGACGAACCCCTGGTCAGCAGAGGCCCTCCACACACCGAGCAGGGCGAGCGGTGTCCCAGGGGCCAAAACCTCCGAAAGGGCAACGATGGCGACGACGGCGACGACGACGACGACGACAGCGGCGACGACGACGACAACGACGACGACCACCACCACCACCACCACCACGACGACGACGACGACGACCGCGACGACGACGACGACGACAACGACGACGACGAGGACAACGACCACGACCACGACGACGACGACGACGACCACGACGACGACGACAATGACGACGGCGGCGGCAACAGCGACGACCCACGATCGCAGTGGCGCGCCACGCGCTCGCGGGCCGCCCACGACGGCGACAGCGGCGGAGGCTTAGCAGGCCCGCCTCGGGGGCGCCCGCAAGCGCCAGTGGCGCCACGACGGCCGTGGCGCCGCGCGCGGGCAGGCCGTCCAGGTTCAAGTTCTCGAGGATGTACCTGTTGCGCCGGGGGCCCAGGGGTGATTCTCTGGCAGCTCATGGGGGTCTCCTATGCCATCCTGCTGGCTCTGGCGATTCGACGCCAGCCGACGCCAGTGGACGCGAATCGACGCCAGTGGGCGCTAGTCGACGCTAAACGCAAATGCATTCTGAAACAATTGTGAGGACATGCGCAGCTCCCCTGAGTTGCTACCGAAGATGGGGCCCTGAGGGGCGAGTGAGCGAGGGACCACCAGTGCGGATAAGCGTCTGGGCCTACCTTTCGCGTCCAGGTTTCAGCGGTCGCGCCCTGTGGGATGGGGCTTGCTTTGACGTCCAAGGTTCTCACATCCTGCCCTTGCATCAGTACTATGGGTTTGGACGGAAGATGGGGTCAGAGGCTCGGGCGCGTTCGCCGATGCATCGGCGTTGCGGCTCGATGTTGAGCCCGACTTTCTCCACGCCGACGCCGCCGATGCTTCACAGACGTCGTCGGCGCATCGGCGATGCATTTGCGATGCTCGGCGGTCGAAAGATGGGACACCGATGGGATGGGGCTCAACGATAGGAAGCGCTCACGGGCAAATTTGCACTTGTTTGAATCTCCTCGTCCTCCGGGGCCCCATCCCTCGGGGCTCCATCTCTGAGCCGCTGTTTTTGCGGGTGCCCCCGGGATGTGGGCGGCCTTCGGAAGCCTCCCGGGACCTACAGGGGCCTCCAGAGTCGAGGGACATCTGGAGACAACCAGGAGCCCGACGACGTCTGGTGCCAGAAGCGGCACGACAACTCTTGTCGCCGTGTTGAGCCAAATCTCGACCCTATTCTGCCCCAGGTCAATCCAGACCCGGGTCGGTCAGGCCAGGCCTTGCAAGATTCTGAAAAATCCTGGAGGACCTGGCAGGATCCTGCACCCACACCCTGGTCAAGGCAACCCTGGCCCTGCAGGATCCTGCACGATCCGGCGCTCTGACTGACCCCCGTTTGCATGGACCCCCATCTCAAGGCTGGACCTCTGCTTAATGCGACTGTTTGCAACAGTGCGTCCTACGGGGGTGACTCCGCCTGCTTGAAACAGACGCCAAAAACAACCAAGATCTGCTCCGAGGGCCCGCGCCGATCGACAAAACAATGAATAAGAAAACGATCACCATCTGCTTGGACGGTTTGGCCTGGGGCGGTCTGCACAGCCATCGCGCCGCCGCTGGCGGCGCCTCCTGGGCCAGGGCGACGAGGAGGTATCGGTGCCTACGCCCCCCGTGGCTTGGCCGGGGAAGCAACTGCACAGCCCTGGGCCCGGGAGGGGGCCCGACCAGGGGAGGTGGATGCCCTGCCCCTGTGGCCGGCCCTGCGTCCTAAGGCCCAAAAACGTCGCATCCCGTCGGACGCGCCAGGCCTAGAAGAAGAAGAAGAAGAAGAAGAAAAAGATGAAGAAGAAGAAGAAGACGAAGAAGAATAATAAGAAACGCCATAAACAAGAGATTGTGGCGCTCCGCCCGGATTTCTTGGATCTGCGCTGGACCCCCTCCCTGGCGTGCTCCGCGCGCGATCCAAGGAATCCGCGCGGACCGCCAACAGTTTATGTTTATGTCGTTTCTTCTTTTTCTTCTTCTTCTTCGTCTTCTTCGGCCACTGCTTTTCCTCGTGGGCCCCGTCCGCCGCGTCTCCGTGGCAGCGGGCGCGCCTCCCTCCCCCGTCCCAGCCTCGCGCGCCGCGCCCCGCGAGGTGCGACGAGCGCCCATCCTCGCTCGGACGTGCATCAAGTGGGCGGGCGACACATGGGGGGGAAGACGTTTACCTTTCCTGTCCCCTGTGGGCCCCAGGGAGCCCCTGTAGGACCCCATTAAGGCACAAGTGGTGCACCCTTCCTAAACCCACCCATGTGTGGCACCCATCACTCGACGCACGACTCGCGCCTTCGCGAGACCACCTGGGAGAAGGACAGCTAAGCGCGAAGTGGTAGTGGGCGAAGTGCTGCCGGGCGGCCAATCTCCCAGACATCCGACGACGTGATTCTTCAATCCGCGGCCGCACAGCTTCGGACCCCATCTTGGCGGCGAGCAGAGGGGCAGAGGGGGGCAGGGGGAGGGGGGAAGGCGCCTTCTAAGAAGCAGCCTCCTGCTGAGAAGGCTTCCCCCTTACCCCCCTCTGCGAGTGGCTGACCTTCCCTGGGGGCAACTTCTCGCCCTGGTTCCATGCTTGATGGCCCGTGGAGTCCGAAACTCTGCCCCCCCCCGGGAGCTGACAGAACGGAAAGAGCAGGCCGAGGCCGAACCCCAAACCCATCGTCGGAGGCCTGAGCTTCTCGTCGCCCGCGGGCCGTCTGCGCGCAAGCCCGAAGCCTCGCCAGCAGGGGCTCGCGCGAAGGCAGTTAGGGCTCCCGAAGCTTGTGAATCATTTGAGGGAGAGGCACCCCTACCGCTGCTCGAGCTCTCGTCGCCCTGGCCGGACATTCCTCGTGAGTTCTGGTCAGCAAGCACCCGAGAGAGGTCCAGGGAGTAGCGGTACAGTCAAATCTGAGAGTGCGGATGCGCAATGTGGAAGCGGGCCCCTTGGACGCCCATGTCGAAGCTTTCCGAGCGGGGCTGGCAGTCGAAAAGGGTCGAGGATGGACCGAGAAGGCAAGGATGCAAGGGTACCCCGGATGGCATAATAATCATCGGGGGGGAGGCGACTAACCTTCCCACGGAGCGTCCCCATCACCCTCCCACCGCTCCCCAACGCGCGTCCGACTCTCTCTCTCTCTCTCAAAACTGCCATCCCCCCCCCCAATCCCCCCCCCCGACGGCACGCGCCCATCCCCCCCTTCGAACCCAAGAGGGGGCGACCGTTTCGCCATCCGGAGTACCCTCTTGGGAAAGTTGCCCATCCTCACTATCGATATCGACTGTGGCGGCATCGGCACGGTCCCCCCGAAGCCGAGTGCCACCCTCCACCGCGACTCCGCGGACGGGCGGCAGCAGAGCGAGGCTCCTGCAGGCCGTCCGCGGGGCCGACCGAGCAGCTGCCGGAGCCGACGCGCCCAGCCAGAGTGCGAGGGCAGAGCTCGGGACACGGCAGGCGAACGGCAGAGACAGGAGAGGAAGACGGACAGGGAGGAGAAGGCAGATCCGGAGGGCCCAGAGGCTCTGGTGGCAAACGAACGCAGAGGAGGAGGAGGAGGAGGAGGACCATCGCATCTGATTTAATAGGGTTTTAATTCGGCGACTGACCGCCTCGAGCCCCTGACGTCTTCGCGCCTCTCCGAGAGAATGGAACACGAGAGAACTTCGCAGGAGGACTTCGCAGGAGGAGGGGGGGCGAGGAGCAGAACACAAGTGGTAGAACAAGACGGGCAGATCGGATCGGGTGGGCAGACCCAGGCAGGTCGGAAGGCGGGCCCAGCCGACGAGGTCGAGCAGGCGGGTTGCTGAAGCGTGGGCCCTGCATGAATCGCGAGGAAGTCGCGAGCGATAGCGCGATTCCCAAGGAAGTCGTGAGAGAAGCCAAAGCGAGAGCGTGATTCCTGAGCGCCGATGGCGCATCGTCTGAATAAATTGCGAGGAAGTCCCACGCCAGAGCGTGATGCGTCCATGAATTGTGAGGAAGTCCCGCGCGAGAGCGTGATTTGGGAATACACTGTGAGGAAGTAATAGCGGGAGACGTTGTTGTTGTAAACTGGGGACCAGGGGCACAATTTGAGCCCCGTGACTTTGCCTGATTTCAATTTGTTATTATTTTTTCTTTTAAACAAAGGTGCGAACCCCGGGGGAGCACTTCAATTGGAAAAACAAATGGTAACCAGAGGGGTGGATCTCCAGTAATAAGATTTCATCAACAGCAACATCAGCATCAACATCATTATCATCATCATCATCATCATCATCATCATCATCGTCATCATCATCGTCATCATCGTCATCATCGTCATCATCATCATCATCATCACCAACAACAACACCGACAACAGCAGCAACAATACCAAAACGCCATCATGCTTTATTTGTGAGTCGCCCGGATCTGACGACCAGGCGTCGGAGAGCGCAGGGCGCGCGCGCGGCGCCAGTCATCACCTCTCGCAGCAAGCCCGCGGGGCGGGCACGGAGCCCTCTGGCAGCGCCAGGCCGTGATGCGCCAGGATCTCCTGGCAGCGACGACGAAGACGACAACGACGACGAACACGACGACGAACACGACGACGATGGCAACGGCGCCGGCGACGGCGTCGGCGTCGGCGACGGCGACGACGGCAACGACGCCGACGGCGGCGGCCACGACGACGACGACGACGACGACGACGACGACGACGACGGAAGCGGCAGCGACGGCGGCGGTGACGGCGACGGTGGCGGCGACGGCGGCGGCGGCGGAGACGGCGGCGACGGCGGCGACGGCGACGGCGGCGACGACGACGGCGGCGACGACGACGGCGGCGGCGGCGACGACGACGACGACGGAAGCGGCGGCGGCGGCGGCGACGACGGCGGCGACGACGGCGACGGCGACGACGGCGGCAGCGGCACTACCTCGAGGGGACCTCCTAGGGATTTCCTGGACATGTTCAAAGGGTTCTCGAAGGCTTTCGGGCCCCCAGGCTGTTCTTTATCGGTTTCCCGTGGTGCTCCCCATGACCTGGGGGGGGCCTGAAAGTCGTAGAACCCGAGCTGCGGCACAGAGGCCGGACGAAACGGGACGACGTCGACGAACACGACGCCGGCGGCGACGGCGGCGGCGCGGGTCTCCTGCAGGTCTTGCCGCACCTCCTGGACCCGCTCTGGGAGCCCGCGGTCGGCGGGGCACCCCCGGGCGAGCGGCTTCAGAGGGGCGCTCACAGCTCCTCCTCCTCCTCCTCCTCATTCTCCTCCTCTTCATCCTCCCCCTCCTCCATCCTTCTCCTCCTCCTCCTCCATCCATCTCCTCCTCCTCCATCCATCTCAACCCCTCCTCCATCCATCTCCTCCTCCTCCTCCTCCTGAGCCACTGAGCCACTGAGCCACTGAGCCATCTCCTCCTCCTGAGCCACTGAGTCCGACGAACGCGACCATCCCCCCCAGGGCCGGTCGGCCTTGGGGGGGGGATCAAACCAGGAGCGTGGCGACTCCTGGGGCGGTCGCTCCAGGAGTCGCTGGCTGTGGGATTGTCTGTGCGAGGTAGTAGCCAACAGAGCGAAAGACCTCCTCCTCCCCCTCCTCCTCGTCCTCTTCCAGCCGCTCAGCGGCTGAGAACGCACTCCTCTGCGGCCTCTGGATGCACACGAGTAGGGTCCAGGGGATGGCGGCATGTTTGCTCCTTCAGGGGGCTCGCCCCACCCATGACAGAGAGAACGGGCCCCCGCGCGAAGCGCTGGCTTCTCGCTGTGAGCGTCCTCTGCGTCTTCTTCGTGGGCCTCTGGCACCACTCAGATGGAGGGCGACCGAGCTCAAGCTGGTGGGCACTCAATACGCATGTGCTCCTACCGATCTCCCTCACGGGGCCGACCAGGGCCGCAAAGTTCTCATCAGAAGTCAGCAACGTAGGCGCAGTCTTCCTCGCAGGGACCAGGCGAAAGCAGACAGAAAGACAGCATTCAAATGTTTCACATCCACATCAGTGGGAGATCAGTTTTGCGTGGACCGGAGCACCTAGCATAACAAAAGCTATGGCGTATCGGTCTACCTTCACCATCGGCGGTTTCCTCGAAATTGCACACGACGTATTTACAGTCCTCCCCAAACGCTGGCGGGACGAACAGGGGCCGTGCGTCTCAAATACAGCTCCTCGGACATTATCGGTGTTGCGGTCTACTTTTCAATGGCATCATCATGTCGTGCGGGCATATCCTCGTATCGAAAGTTTGTGGAAGCGGTGACCTCGTTGGTGCAATCGCTAATCAACAGCGTTGGCAACAGGTGCAACCCCCATCATGGGTATTGACCTGAACGACGGTCTAGGCTACTCCCCCACGAGATTTACGAGAGCGAGATTGCCACAGGATAGCAGGACGACGATGAGGCGCACAACGCAGTGGTGGATTATGCGGACGTGGACGTGGAGGGGCTCGCGGCTCAGCTGTGGCACCAGATGCTACACGACACGCGCACGATGGCCTGCACGATCCACATTCCGAGGCTCGACAGGGCACAACTCACGGATGACTGCGCGCACATACCGAGCGGCCTGAGGCCACACATTACATGCTGCAAGATCCCGTCGGGGGTTGGCCGCCGTCTCCGGCTCACCAACACGTCAAACGACCGCGACCACAGACCGGCATACGCCGAGTGCAGGAGCTACTTCGAGGCGGAAGCCTAGGCTCGACAGTCGTGGGACTTTGACGGTATCGTGCGGATAATGAGTGGAGGCACCTCTTACCAAGGGGAGGTGGAGAAGATTCACAGCGCCAGGCTGCAGATTTCAGGCGAAGATTGAATCAGACTGTGCACGCGACCCATGACGGACGATGTGGAACTCATCCTCGGTCGCACTCAGACAGGTTCTGCTTGATGCGTTCCAGCGTAAGTCGGCAGTGGAACAGGAGAGACCCGAGCTCGAGCCCAAGAGATCACAACTTTTGGATCGACGCAAGGTCCCTCGGGGTCAGCGCATTAGCAGAGGCAACACGGACAGGGAGGTGGAGCGTGAACTCTCGGGAATTACCTTTCGCAAGCGCACTCTATCAAGACAGATCACCAAGGGCATCAACAAAACGCCAGTGGGGGGACTCAACGCAGCTTGGGCAGATCACGATCACAATGCAACTCAGCGTCTCACTCGCAGACTGGCTCGTCGAGGTCTTGGCCCACGCCAGCGGAAGCACGTTACGGCTAGGCGGAGAACTGCGAGCCACAGGACACTGCCGACTTCCTGAAGCTTCCCGCGCGCCGGGGGAGACTTGGAGCGGTGGAGCGCGACCTGCAACGTGAACTATCCAAACGTTTCGACAGTGTCAATCTTGGCGACGAGGCTCATCGGACGGACCAGCAGAGGTATGGCGCAAGGAAGTTCGGCGACTCCCAGCAGGCGGAGGACCTCCGAGGCATCATTCGAGAAATGAGGCGGGCCCCGAAGTGGAGAGCCATCCCAGCTTGGAGCATGCCCCCCGAACCCTGGCTCATCTCACTAGACACTGAACAATGGCTGAAAGTTCAGCGCGGGGGAGTTGGCGAGGACCCCACACCATGGACCGCAATGGCCTTCGACGCGATGATGGTTGACATCATCGCCACTTGACGACGAGCATCTTCTCGCTGCGTGGGCCTGGACAAAGGCAACTGCAAAACGGGACCCCTGGGCCAACGCTGGATTCACATGTTCTGTCCGCTCGGTGGAACAGCGGACGACGACACAACGAGACTGGTCCATACTATTATGATGGGTTTGCTCGGCGGCGCAGGAGGGAGGACGCCATCACGGTGCACGACGGTTCATCGTGGAGGCTCCAGAAGATGGGCATCTCCCACACAATCGTGAACGAGGACGCCACGAACGCCTTCGCCAGTGCAGACAGAGATATCAACCTCTCATCACTCGAGTCCCTCTACCTCTCTGAAGACGCCAGGCTACAACACCACAGGACCTACAGACGGCCCTGCATCTCGGGGACCCCCACGGGCTGCATGTTGCTACGGCCTACCTCAGGCGAGCCCATGGGGCATCCCAAATCCAGCTAAGGAGGTGCCCCGTACTTCTACCAGGTGGGCTTGGAGGTCTTTCTGAGATGGAGGCCGCAGACTAGCTCACGCGAGTACACAGAAGTCTCGGAGGTGGATGGCGCTTGCACGGACGCAGGGATCACGGTCTACGCGGACGATGTCACGATGAATGTTAAAACTGGGTGGTGCCCTGGTCACGTCACTTCACGGAGGGAGGAAAAGCAGTCCATCTCACGTCCCTGTCGACAAGGAGCAGCAGTCAGCTCAGCACGGCGCTGGGTGAGGTCGGATTCCCCCTGAAAGCGGACGGGAGACCCAGAGCCCACGCCTCGTTGGCGCAGGCAGCGTGGCACAGAGGAGACGCATCTAATCGGGCAGCCCCAAGTTGGCAGGACGGCACAACAGATGCATGCGCATCATAGGAGGGTGGCTCACGTCGCAAGGCTCGCTACATATCGGGAAGGGAAGACTGCTCCAGGCGGGCCGATCGGGTCTCGGGGCCACCTCTAACGTTCTGGTCCACCCGGCGTCCCGTGCGATTAAACGTGTGGCGATTCTCTCGTTTGTCAAGGGGGCGCTCCTGTCGGGCACGAAGGCAAGATACCCGACCACCTACACGACCGAAGACAACAAAATCATGATGCGAGCGATGCGACGGGGATTGGGGGTGAAGGGCACGTAGGATCACGATAAGGTGACTAGGATTAAGTCGGGCCTGTCCCCCTACAGGCCGATTCTGGACGAAAATCCCACCAGCCCTTTGGGCGTGAGTGGTTTAGCGAGCTCTCTCTGTCCTCAACCCCCCTTCTTCCCCTTCGGGGAGGGGTTTACCCCTCCCCCTACCCCCTCCCCCTGGGCCTGGAGAGGGGGCCCGGCGGGTCGTCAGAGGGGGTAAATTTCGACTCCTGGGAGGGCTAAAAAACGACGACTCTCACAAGGATTCTGGCCCCGACGGGGGGACGGAGATAAGTCCCTCTCCTCTTCTGTGAAGCCAAAAACATTGATTTTACTATGGTTTTGGCCCCATTTTGGCTTTCTGAGGGGGCAGCGCTCCTCTTCCTTCATAGCAAAATCATTGATTTTACGAAGGTTTTGGGCTCATTTTGTCCTTCTCAGGAGGCAGCGCTCACTTGCGCTTCTGAGGAGGTCGCAAGAGGCCCCAAGCTGGCCCCAAGAGGCCCCCAGGAGGCTCCCAAGAGGCCTCCAAGAGGCCCCCAAGAGGCCCCCAAGAGGCCCCAAGAGGCCCCCAAGAGGCCCCCAAGAGGCCCCCAAGAGGCCCCAAGAGGCCCCAAGAGGCCCCCAAGAGGCCCCCAAGAGGCCCCCAAGAGGCCCCAGGAGCCTCCAAGAGGCCCCCAAGAGGCCCCACGAGGAGCCCGAACGACTCACACCAGGACGAGGGGCCCGAACGACTCGCACCACGAAGAGCCCGAACGACTCACACCATAAGGAGGGGCCCGAACGACTCACACCAGGACGAGGCGCCCGAACGACTCACACCACGAGGAGCCCGAACGACTCACACCACGACGCGGGCCCCGAACGACTCACACCACGAGGAGCCCGAACGAGTCACACCAGGAGGAGGGGCCCGAACGACTCACACCAGGACGAGGGGCCCGAACAACTCACACCACGAGAAGCCCGAACGACTCACACCAGGACGAAGAGCCCGAACGACTCACACCACGAAGAGCCCGAACGACTCACACCAGGAAGAAGGGCCCGAACGACTCACACCAGGACGAGAAACCCCAAACGACTCAAACCACGAGGAGCGTTTTCTCTCCCTCCTCTTCCGCCTCGTCCTTCTCCCGCTCCCCCCACAAGGAGGATGTACAAGGAGGCGGGAGGAAGGAGGAACACGGGAGATATGCGGGAGCAAACGGACACACGCCTGAAAAACACTATTGTCGGCACGCTTCGCAAGAGTTGCGGTTGTGAGATGGGCTGGTGGGGATACGCGAAGCGTAAAGAATTTAAAATAGTCAAATTATCCCAACAAAGCAACCTAACATCGATATGTAGAAGCATAGCTGGAGGCATGCAGCAGCAGTAACAGTCACAGTAGTAGTAGCAATAAGAGCAGGAGAGATGAAACAGTGGTAACAGTGAAGTAGTAGTTGTAGTTGGCGGGAGTGAACGA